TTATTATTAATTAATTAAGTAATTATTAGAAATTATAATATTTATGTATGTTACATACATAACATATTATGTAAGAAAGGAATTAACATGTATAAACAACAGTTCTCTGAGCTTACAAATTGATTCTAATTATTCGTATGTTCAAAGTTTAAAATTCCACACATTTTGACAGGCTGTTATAAACTTGACTGTTTCTAATTGTAAAACTAATTACAACAGTTAACTGGTAAGGTCTAATATCTTTAAAATGGATATAAGTAATGATTCTGTATATTTAAGACATGCTGCTAACTGTTTTGAATTATGTTACACACATATCACCAGCAAGTGACAATTGACGACAAACTGACTGGTTGGTTACTTACATGTAAACACGTACACACACCGAGAATTAATTTCTATCTTATATTTTGCGAAATTTTACATTTAGCACATCCTTAATTTTTTCAGGAACAAAAGCGTTAGATATTTAAAAAATTTTTAATCGTGTACAAATTAGGATCTCAATCTCTAAAATTGTTAAACGTAATCAATACAATTTAATAACAGTTTTAATAATTTTAAATAATTGTAATAATTTCCACGTTAGATATTTATTTTTTTTATCTTCTAAATATTTAACACACCTGAACTTTTTTCTGACAGTAAACTTAAAATCGTTCCTAGCTGTTATGCAGAAATAATCAAGTAGTAATGAATTTTTAAAAGATTTTCAAAATATACAATAGACGATAAAGAGTATTAATTTCAGTACCGTTAATTTCGCTGTAATTCATATTTCATAAATCACAGGTCACAAAAGTGATAGATCGCGAAAATTCCAAGCAGATAACGAAATAATCGTAAAAATTGTTAAACTTACTAAACAAGTGTTAACAGTAACACGCAGCGAATCCACTTATTCTACTTCCACGATAACGTGTGTGATGAACTGTTATACTGTAATCCACTTTGCCAACGCTTACAAAACTTTTCCCCGCGTCGTATTCACTTTGCCGTGGACAGTGATATATTGCTCCGCTCCTTATGAAAGGCTTCCTTAAAATTTATTCGCAGGATGAACGTGTGTTGCGGTGGAAAATGTACGAAGATCAAGGTTCAACGCCCCGATCAAGTGTCTAAGCCACTGCAAACTTACACATGAGTACCTAATTAAAAACACAGAACCACCAATATGTAACGTCTGTAAGCAAATTCTATCGACCAACCATCTACTATTCGAATGCAGAAGATACCGCACCCAAAGACAAAAGTATAAAATAACATCGACAGCGGCCTTGACGTCACAGAAACGCGTAGAAAATACCTTAAACTATCTAAAGGACATCAACATCTATCATAATATATAATCGGACAGGAATGAAGAAAACGAGACCTAGTCGTCGCTAATGACCTGAAGGTCGATGTGACGTAAATCTCAAATTAAAAAAGAAAATAACTAAACTATATTCACGAGATAAATATTGTAGTACCGCGTTACTTAATCTCCTTTCTGTAATCGTTGAATTTTAATCGATTATCACTTTTGAAATACACGCTTTAGCAGAAAAGAACACTTGACATTGTAAGGAAAAAGATGGCGGCAGTATCGTCAGATTTGAAATTTGATATCTCGATATTGGTTAGTGCAAAATGCACTCGCAGGTAGTGTGAGAAAATCCGTCTCGAAGACGGTGAAGCGAGCACCATGGAGCCAGGCCCAGCGCGCTCGGTGGGGGTGACTCCGCCCCTTTGGGACTTTCCCTGGGCCTGTTCGCGTAGGGGTGGACAGGGATCGGCAGGACGACGCATACTCACCCTTCCTGAGACCTTCAATGTACACCTTTGCAAGCGATGTCCGATTAACGTAGACACAGATTCTGAGTGTAATATATTGTTGCGGAAAACGTAGATACGTTTACCTTCCCGAGACCTTCAATGTACACCTTTGCAAGCGACATCCGATTAACGTAGACACAGATTCTGAGTGTAATATATTGTTGCGGAAAACGTAGATACGTTTAGTGGACTTTTCGCCCACCCTACGCTGAGTCGGAGTATTTTCTGACAGTAGTGTTAAACGTAACCTTGATAAAGCTTCTCAAGGTCAAAGAAATATAGTCATATATGCCCCTTGGTACCCTACAGTTTTTGTCTCAAGTATTTTTCCGTGTCATCCATATTTTTCCAGATATTTACACGCTTCCAGATAAATCACACACTGTATACAAGAGAAAGAGCTTACAGCTTACAACTCGTAGCTTGTGAAAAAATATAAAGACTCTTATGTTTAACTATTCTAATAGACACCTTTCGTGGTATAAATTTTTGCAGAAACATTGAAGAAGCAGTAACCGTTCGTAAAAATAAATGAAAAATAAAAATATTGCTTTTACTAATTTTCAATTTCACAAATTTATCTTGAGTAATATTTTTAACTATGATCAAAAATTGAAGGTTAGGTATTTCAAATATAGAAAATGATACATACGCTATTTAATTTGTAACTATAAAACTTTTCTCTTTCATTTTTCGAGAAACACGCTTGGCTTGACATAATTCTTGCATCCTTGAAAGAAATCGTTATCGTAATCAAATTGCGGTCACGTTGAATTGGAATAGTAAAATAGAATAAACCCATCGAGTAAAAGGAAACTCGGCAAATCTACGTTTGTTCTCTGCAGAAATATTTCTTGCGAAAGAAGAAAGATTGTAGAATAGGAAGAATATCTTGGACCTTGATCTGCCTACGATAAATATTATTCACCCTCGGTCGCGCTAGTAACGAGATCGTATCTGCCGGTGTTGCGTGTCATTTGCATATTACAGCCGGAGGCGTCGAGTAGATCCTTGCTTTTGGCAATCCGAAATGCACGAGGGTGCCAGCCGTGGTTCAATTTACATTTCAGTATCGAAATAGCGTTTCTACCCTCAGGTGACGAACGTGGATCAAGCCAAGTGACAAGAGTAAAGAATGTTTGCTCGATTTTCGCGTACCGTTAGCGATGATTAGTAATTAACACGTTTCGCGTCGCGTGTACTACCGGTGGTACACGTTCAACTTTTCATTCAGGTTGTTTGATATTTTAAATGTAAACAGATACAGTATTGTAGTATCGTAAAAATGTTGCCTCTTCGTGCGTATTTTTACGAGGCGCAGGACGAGGGTTGTATAAGAGAAAGTGCTGGTCTACAGGGACACAAGCCAGGCCTTTCGCGAAAACCCTCGCCCACTAATGCGTTGACCATTTTCAATAGAAAAACCTAGAAATAGCGTGTGTGTATGGTGGGAGAGAAAGAAGGCGAAGGAAAAGATTTCCTTGTAGACAAAGGCAGTGTGAAATAGAGTGGTCAGAGTATTGTAGATAGAGAGTGACCACAGTGTTGCAGGTAGAGAGTGTAAGAGTCGCCAGAGTGTTGCAGGTAGAGAGTGTAAGAGTTGTCAGAGTGTTGCAGATAGAGAGTGGCATAGTCAGAGTGTTGTAGATACAGAGTGTTGGATAGAGTCATCAGAATGTTGTAAATAGAGAGTGTTAGATAGAGTGATTATAGTGTTGTGGATAGAGAGTGTTAGATAGAGCGATCGCAGTGTTGTAAATAGAAGGTGTTAGATAAAGTGGTCAGAGTGTTGTAGATAGAGAGTGTTCGATAGAGTCATCAGAGTGTTGCAGATAGAGAGTGTAAGAGTCGTCAAAGTGTTGCATATAGAGAGTGACAAATAGAGTCAGTGTTGCATATAGAGAGTGACAAATAGAGTCAGTGTTGTAGACAGAGAGTGTTGGATAGAGTCGTCAGAATGTTGTAAATAAAGAGTGGCAGACAGAGTCGAAGTGTTGCCAGAATCGTCAGTGTTGGAGATGGAGTGTTAGGGATAGTGTTGCAGAGAGCGTTGTACGAGTCTTCTAAAAGTTGTCTTAGTGTTGTACAAGTTGTTTTATAGTTGTTAGAGATGTGTAACAGTTGTCTTAGAATAATAGAGTTAAAATTGCAGGTAAGCTGGGAGTGTTGTGATTAGAGTCGCAGTGTTGTAAATGAAGTGTTGCAGATAGAGTTGTAGTGTTGTGAGCCTGACTTGCCTGAATATTCTTAGTGTTGTCGGAGTCGTTTTATAGTTGTTCGAGTTGCACAAGATATTTTAGTTCAGTTTAGAAATATTTTAAGAAAACATTGCGCAATTCTGCCTACTACTGTTTATTTTGATACAACTATTTATAAATTATTACAAAAATTCAACGGTTTCTAAAACTTCTGAATTGAAATATTTTAAAAGTTATGCAATTCCTTTTTTCCCTACTAATTTAACGTACTACATAACGTTCAAGTTCTCCTTTAAACAACGTTGTAGCTACGTGTTTCTCCCTTTGTATGTCGTTAATCAGCAATTGGCTCAGGGTAAATATCAAGACCACCGTCTCCACAAGGTTTTTTTTTGAGAAAAGATAAACAGTACAATGACTTACCCTGGCAGGAGATGGCGAACTGTCCCTGGAGAGACTGCCGAGAGTCACCAATAAACGACGTGAGGCCCCCAACACCGAATCCCGCCATCCCTCTGTAACAATAAACGCAGAACCCTGTTATTTATCGTACAACATTTGCTTGGTTTAGTGCGGTACAGTAATTGTTTGTCTAAAGAATTTTGTATTTTCATGCATACCTCTTATGATAATCGTAAAATATTTCACATAACAAGATCAAATATAAAGCGTTGTTTAAAGATTATCGATAATCATAACCTATGATTTTTTTCTGACTATGCATCTAAGCGTCAGTCATTTAGTGTTTTAGTGTGTAATTCTCAGTGTTATAAATTCAAACAAGAGTTAGGATTACAATTAATTTTTCTTATTAATATAACTACTTTTCTCTTATCATGAGTAGAATCTCTGTCACGAGTGTGACTCGTTGTTACAGATTAAGGGGTTAAGAAAATACAAAATGGTTTCGCATTACTTCAATTATTGCTGATGAATATAAACTATAGTTCATTGTTAGCTTCCTATATAATTAGTATTTAATATAACGTGTCTTGCAAAGAAATTTTTGAACAATTCTTGCACTTTCCTTTATTTTACATAGTTAATAATTGTGTAACGACTGTTTAAGTTTATTTAACATTCAAACATTGAAATATAAAACTCTGGTGTGTGACAGGTTTAGAGACACAAATGACCCTTCATCCTAAAAAATTCTCCGACTTTTTCACCAGCAATTCTCTGCCACGGTATTGACGTCACGGTAACGGCAATCGATCGTACTGTTACACCTTCTCAGTCCTTAGTTTTATCTGTATTTACAACTAGTCACCCACTTTCCAACTCTCCTGCACAGTCACAACCCAAAGTCCATCTTCCCAGAACCCTTAAGTAGCCCTATTTTCTCCATTTCCGGATTCATTCTCTATTTCACCACGCGCACGTCACGTAACGTCGAAATCTCCGTTAAATAAAGTTCTGTTTCTACGCAACGACGATCCCTAAGTGTTTTAATTCAGTGATACCCCAATATCTGCTCCTAGTTTCGAGGAATTGGAGCAAACCGGGCATCACAGTACGTTCGATAAAAAGACGCAACACGTCCTTGATCACACATCATTATTTACCTGAAATGTTAAGGCGTATCCTGTAGCCGGATTTATGGCAGCCAGTCAAGTGGTCGCCGTCGCAGGCAAATATCGCTTTCTCAAAACACCACAAGTGTTTATTGCGTTGCCTGCGACACTTAGTCCCTAGGACCAGGCCCTGCCATGAATCCTGGAGTCTCCGAACGGAAAATAGAAAAGTGGCCCACGACTTTTGCCAACGTCGATGGGCCACTTGACTTTAACAAAGCCTAGAAAAGCGGAGATTCCACAGGATTCCCACGCATCCGTCCACCGAACACTTTCTCCGGTCGTTGTTTAACCCATCCTAAGATAACGCGCTAAGGGCGAAACGGAGGGAGGTTGCGATGCACCGGAGTAAACTGATCGGTGATTTAGAAAAGGAAAAATCACCAATCAGGGTGTTTTTAGGAAAATAGGAGTCTTCGTCGAGGGAAACCGCAGAGACTCCAGCAGAAACACTTGGCCACTCGCAAGTGAAACACCTCTCACTTCGCAATAGAATTTATATCTTGAATTAGTTGTAGAAAATAGAACATAAAATAAAAACTTAGTGTTTCAATCAAGAAGCTGTTCCTTCGAAACCTTAGAACACTAGTCGGCACACACGTGCAAAAACCGGCAAAGCTTGAACGATCGAAAGATCAACCGCAAGCCCTAACATGAAACGTCCGCTTGATCGAGTCGAACATTTTCGATCGTGTAGAATAATGCGAATAAGAAAGCAGAATTTAACACGAAGAGGGGAGCGGCTGCAGAGTAATCCGCAGGGGAGTTTCATATTGCTGGATTAAGTGTTCAACTTCCACCTTCGACTCTGCCTCTGTTTCCTTAGTTGGTGTCTTAAGCCCGAGTCGGCTAAGTTATGGTCGCGACTTTCATTAAACGGCTAGATGACGGATCGCTTTGCCTCATTTAGATTACGACCGGCGATGAAAACGGATTTAATCACGGTAACGGCGTCCGATATTCGGCAGCGGCCACCACAGTTCTTAATCTGGATGATTTGATCGTTTTGATTTACTGTCGCAATATTACCGAAACGTGTTTTCACGCGGCTGCTGTAATTGGAATAAAGTATTCTTTTCTTTTTTCCCTAACAAACACTTCGTAACTAAGAAAGTGTGTAGAAATAAGATTTAATTTTCTGAGCTATGTTTCTTAGATGTTAACACGACTGTAAAACATTGTATGCAATTTTCGTAATTACGTATGTCCAACATTTTGCTCTGATTAAGACAGTCTAATGTAGTATTCAGTGTAAGATGTATTGTATATGCAGGTATATGTTACAGTTAAACCCCGAATTTCGTCAAAATACAAACTTTTTAACAAATCTCTCCTGTTAATACAAGTTTTAATTAGTTAATTCTAGAATTAACTGCACAGTGAGTTCAAAAGCCTGAAGACCCAAATTGTGTACAAATTTTTAGACACCCTATGTAATTTTCGAATACACAGAATTTCTACTCACTCCTTCATAACACATATTCACAGAGTCTTGTAAGTTTCCTATTTTGAATTTGCGTCCGTTAGTATTTCTTGTATTATCTGTAATGTTTTAACTATTCGTGTGTAATCTAATTGGAAATTTTCCCGTATAAATTAAATAAATAAATAATAACGTAGTTAATACAAACATTAATCTCTTCAAGACTCATAAAGATACAATTATTCTAGGAAAAATATATAATAACAATGTATCGACAATTAAAAATGTTAAAGCCGTTATTTTTGTCGTAACTTTTAAACAAAGCTTCAAACGACCTATGTTTGTATAACATTCTTTCCTTACCTATACAAAATTTGATTTTAAAAAAACTGGGACACCCGGTATATTAAACTTAAAGAGTACCTATGTCGTTGAAAAGGTAATCATACAACATTTATATACGAATTTATAATATTAACACTTTTTAAAATACGGAATTTCCACTTTTAACAATTCACCCATAAATCTCTCATAAGAATGAAACATTGTACTTCCATTCGTGTCAGGGAGTGACGTTTAATAGAACAAAAAATTAAATGCACTCTTTTCAAATTACTGTCGCCTTATATTTTCGCAAGAATCATATCAAAAGAGAGAGAGAGAGAGAAAGAGATGTAGGAAATGAATTAAATCCTTTGTGCGCGAAAATGTTCACTTTACCTTCGCGCATAATGACAGGCATAAATTCATAAGACGTAATAATAATAAAGTTACGACATAAAACTTGCTACGGCGGGAATGGAGACGGTTGCAACGTGGCCACCAACCGGCCTCCGGATTAATAAATCTCAATTACGCGAGTTAATACCGAGGGCAATACTCTCCCCTGGTGTACGCAAGGAACCGGATACGAGGGTGAAGGTATTTCCATCGGGCATTGTTGCTAGAACAATGACGATGACGATTCTGCGGAACCGCCCTTCGATTGTGTAAAGTGCGGCCGCACAACGTCCTGGAAATTTATCGCTATTTGTTGACGGCTCCTCTGTCGTTAACGGTATTTAGTACACAGACACGAAACGCCGGTTAAATGCTGTTCTACGTCCCTTGAACGTGTGACGTGACAATTTACTTTTCTTGCATTAACTTCCTCTTCAATTTTTCGAAATATTCACAGCTTCTTTTATTTGAATTCGATCAATTTACCATTTACGATTGTTAATATTAATCATTTACTATTTATCTACTTGCGATAATCTGACAGAAAAATGCTATAAACAAAAATTAGCCAGCAGTCGATAAAACAGTTAAATTGCAATAATAAAAATGGTCGAAACACTGTTTCTTCGATAAAAAATCAGGGTTGCCTTTACTTTTTTGTGGCATCATACAGGGTGTTTCCGAACTAGTGGTACAAGCGGCAAGGGGATGATTCTACGTGCAAAAATAAGTCGAAAGAAAAAAACGAATAACATTTTTTCGTATCGGGCTTCGTTTCCGAATACACCAGCGTTGAAGATCTATCGAGTACACGTACACTTACACGTGATCTCACGTCTACGGCGTACAAATATCATTGTGTTGAGATCTTCTGTCAGGATGACAGAAAGCGTTCTTTGTAGTAATTGACACTTTGCAGTCGAGTGGCGACTGAGAAGCGACATTAAGTAACCGTCACTTGGTAAATAATCGATCAAATCAGAGAGCAGATCTATGGGATCTCTATTTTGATTGCCATAGTGAAATAGAGAATACGTTGAATATTTAAATAAAACAGTTGTTTTTACGTTAATTTTAAAATTTTTCAAAGATCTGATTTCAGCAAACTTTCCTACAGCAAAATGACCTCCGAGTGCAAAGGGTTAATAGCCATAGATGCGTTACCTGCACAAGCACCCAACGGGAGAATCATATCGGTGTGTACTCTCGATTACTGTATGTTGCCGTGTCGACAGAACGATAGAGACTGAAAGTCTGACACAGAAATGATAACAAGCCACGACATTGGTGGTGTTTATGAATCCGAACGTAACAAAGGCTAAATTTTCAATACTGATTCCTTCGGACACGAAGACCGATACGAAAAAATGTTATTCTTTTTTTGCGACTTATTTTTGCACGTAGAGTCACCTAAAATTTTCTATTTTATTTGTTTATATCTGTTGTATGGTGATAAGGGACCTTATTACATTTAAGAATGACACTTTTATCTGTTATAAAGATTAAGTTAAATTTCGTATTTTATTTGTTACTAGTTTTCGTTGTAATAACTTTTCAGCTTTAGTGTTGTAAAAATAAAATAATACTTTTATTATTTGTAAGTATCTATTCTTTAGAAACAAATATATTTTGCTCTTAAAGGACTTAAAATAAAAATGACATAATATTTATTTGTAATTATTGATAAATTATACTGACAATTAAAACTCTGATTAACGTATTAAAACTAGAACTATCTTTAATCTGTATTGCATAACGAATGGTTCTGACTGAATGGTACTAATTTTTTCGCTTACAG